GGAGGAAAATAAGAACCCATAGCGCTACAAGCCTGTGGCTCCGACTGCCATTAAAACGGAAATCAGAGCTTAGCTAATGCCTCCCACGCTGCAGCCAGTGAATGCAAATCAGCCTGACAATTATGATACAGTTCAGGGTCAGCCTTATACTGTTATACTTGTCAGCCATCCAGAAGCCTCCACTGGCTCAGTTCAAAATAATCAGTTCATGAGTCTGCTACAGCTGACTTTTTCATTCAGTGCAATCTCAGTTCAGTGCATGCAACGCACTATGCATATTTATCTACCAAGCCACTAATCTAATAACTAGATTATTTATGCATTTTTCCTTGCTGAAGTATTCACATCCATTGAACTTCAGTGTATTTTTGGAGCACAAAATGGGTAATTTTCCAAACTTAAAAGGATAAGAAGGGCAAGACTAACATTAATCAGAGAAAAAGTCTAAAGTAAATTTTGACCATCCAGCAAGACAATAGAATTAAATATACAGCAAAAGCTATGATGAAGTGATTTGGATAAAAGCATATTAAAATATAGCATGGCCTAGTCAAAGCCCAGAAGTAAATCACTGGTAAATCTTAAAAATTTATGTCAACAGATGCTATCCTTTAGATAGAAAAAGAGACCATGCAAGCATTTCACTTTTTAGACATATAACTGAAATATACTTCCACTTCCGACGGTCTACCTCATAAACAGTTTTTGCTAATGACATAAGAAAATGATGAAAGGTTTTAATGGTTTGCAAAGTACATCTCATCCAACAGGTTAAAACTGCTGACGACGCGTCTTTATTTCTCTTGAAGGCCTGGATCTACTGTACCAGCCGGAGGTGGTGAGGCTGTACCTCTCTCTTCTTACCTGCAGTCACAACCACAACACCCTGGAGGCAGCTGCAGGAGCTCTGCAGAACCTCGCTGCGGGACACTGGGCCGTAAGCAAACAAAAAAGTTCACAGTTATTTTTCACGATCCCTAATTACAGGAGCCTTACTCTGAAAACACAAAGCGTTATTCCCAGCACATTTGGCTGATTTCATTCCAGTGCAAAGCTCACTGCTGAGAATGATCATTTATGTAGGTGAAGTGACTGAGGCTGCTGTCATAGTTTGTAAACATCATCTTGTGTCTGAGGAGCAGATCTGGGATGCGCTTCTTTACAGCATTGTTGCTGTCTCTACTGTTCAGCTTGAGGAGAGACTTAAAGTAGAGCTGGCCTGGAATAAAGTGCTATGAGTAAAGCGTAAATGTGCTCGAACAGTGCAGGGTCAAAGAAGACAACTTCTAGAGGCCAGCACTCGGGGGGCCATGAGTACCTAAGGCTTCTCGTCTCTTCTCAGCTGGCTGGTTTTGTTTTGTCAGCGGGCATCATTAATCAACCTAATGTAAATGTGCGCTGACCTCGTCTCTAGCCAAGATAATCAGAAAAGCTGCAACTAAATTTCCCCTTGAGTGGTTCCATATGTCTTAGAAATAACATCCAAAGTAAAATATAGGAATGTCCTCTCAGTGTAAAAGTGATTCAAGACAAAGGCTTGTTCAAAGATATTTGAGTTCTTAAAGGGCACGTAAATGTGTTTACTATTAAAGCATAATTTAAGGAATCTTCTTTGAATGTTTTTAAATTTTCTCAAGATAATCCGACTGAGCCAACAGACTCTTGTGTCTCTTCTTGCAGTGGTCGAGCTACATTAGAGCCACGGTGAGGAAAGAGAAAGGACTGCCAGTTTTAGTGGAGCTGTTGCGCTCAGACGTGGACAAAGTCGTGCGAGCCGTGGCCATCGCACTTCGCAACCTCGCCATTGACAGAAGGAATAAGGACTTGATCGGTACAGAATTAAAGGTCTCCGCTTCATTCAGAGGCGTCGACGCCTGCAGACTCAGTTTCTCCGCCTGTCTGTCTTTACAGGGAACTACGCTCTGAGGGACCTTGTTGCTAACTTGCCTTGTGGGCAGCAGCACCCCGTGAAAAATCTCGAGGGAGACACAGTGGTTTCCATTCTGAACACAATTTACGAGATCATCACAGATAACCCTGAGAATGCCCGAGTGCTTATACAGGGTCATGCTGTGCAGAAACTGGTGGCCATAAATAAGTCAAGGTAAACAAATGTATCAGAAAGAAATGTTCAGAAAAGCATTACTGCATTTAAAAGAATGCTACATTGAATAGCTGAAAAACTTCACAAGTTTGTTTTGAATGGGTGTCTCATTTTAGTATGAGCACATTAAACAGCAGTCATGGATATTGATGTCTTGGTGCTGATTGTTGTCATTAACCATCAAAATCATCTGTTGTCAGCCAATCAGCACGAGAGACCAAAGCTGCTTCGCATGTACTTCAGACAATATGGGCCTACAAAGAGCTGAGACACACTCTGACCAAGGCTGGATGGAACAAGAGCAACTTTAAGGTATTTTTATTTATTTTATAGGAATTTAAAACATCAGAAGATAGCTCAGTTGAGGTTAGGATAGGTTGGATTGGCATAGAGTAGGTTTGTTTACTTCGTTTGTCAAATTGTCTACAGTAAAAATATATTAATTTGGTAATGTTTTCTTCATTGAATTTATTTAAATTCAGAAAACTATGCCAGCAATAAACTGGGTCTCAAAATGACTTAAAATAATAAAAGGTATGATGTTTATTGTCTTTATTAAACATTAAAGGAAAAGCACGAAAAACAAACAAACTATGTGGATCACCATGCGCAATAACATTGTAAAAAGTGTTTAAAAATTAGTAGCTGAAATGAATTTCTCGTTTGAAGCCAACAGGATCAGGTGTAACTAAAAAACCCAAGAATGGGAAACAAAACAGCGATGACATCACGTTGCCTCTCATGGAGAAAAACCAAGGTTAGCATACGTCTAATAGTTTTATTTTACAATATAAATGATTTAAAAAATACCCAGTAGTTCCTGGAATAGAAAATGTTTCTTATACCGCTATTATTTTGTGCTTTGTTGCAGATGTGTATTCCACCTTGGAGTCAAATGACAGAGTTGGAGACGGAAAGGGGCCTGTTGTAGAAAGAGATGCCCAACAGGTAGGTCATAAATGATCTTCAGTATAAATTTCTTTCTTATGGTGGATGACCAAAACTCCGGCTTTTTTTCCCCCTGACAGGCGATAAGTGAAAGAAAACACTTCATCAGAGCTGGCAGGCCTGCTGTCGGCCTCATGGATAACAAGCCTCCACCGCTGGACTCCTGGGTGTGAACTTGACAAAAGATGCAGTCCAGCTAGTTAAATCCTGTAGGGACACTTTCTGTTGGTGAAATGCAAATCTGTGTCATTTGTTCATTCTTGGAAAAAAAAACAAACAAAAAAAAAAAAAAAAAAAAAAAAAAAGGCTTATTTGTTTACAGAACTTAATGTGCCAAACACTTATATGTATTTAATCTGGAGATTAGTCGACAATAGACTTTATTGTTTTGATATTTAGGATGACTTCTGTAAGCCTGAAACATACAACTGATAAGATGTGATGTATGAATTAGCCCAAATATGCAAACTATGGGGAATGATGATTCCAAAGATTATATAGCCTGTACAAAGTGAGTTTGACAGTTTATTAACAGCTTAAATTGTCTAAGTTGTGTCAAAAGACATATGCGGATCTTTTTTTATTGTCCACTTCTATAATTATGGACCATTTCCAATCTGAAAAAGTCTCGAAACATTTTTTAGCCTCTGATAAACAGCCTAATCACCCAAATCGTTTGGAAATTAGCGTAATTTTGATAAATCAGGGTAGAAACAATAAAGGTTCATTGCATTTGTTTATACAGACAGGTAAACAAGGACTGTACATGTGTAACAAAGGACTGTTAATATTCAAAATAAAGGCATTTATATTATAATGTTTATTGTAATACCCATGTTATTAATTAAGAGCTATTTATGTGTCTTAGCTAATGCCTATAAATGATACAGCTCTGCTTTGCAGTGGTCCTTTTTGCATTGCAGTGTTAAATGAAACTGACAATAAATGCTGTGCATAGTTTCTCATTCATGTTTGTGTTACTTCTTAAACAGTTCAGGTCAGAAGTTTGCATGCACTCAGAATGGATTCATCTTAGGGTTTAATCTTATATTTGAATTGTTTATTTTCCAGGAAGAAAAGGTCACCTGCAACTGCAGTTGATTTTAACAATGAGAATTTAACTAATAAATGTACATTTATTCTGGATGGAACCATCATGAAGACGTAAGACCACTTAGACATTGTCTGGAAGACAACGACAAAAGCTCAAGTCTCCCTGTAACAGGAAGATAGCAGTAAATATTCACGTGGATTAAAGAGTAGTGCTGAAGAAAAGAAGTGTCATCTCCAAAACCTGCTCTTTCTTTTCCAGCTGCCCCCATTATGAAGAAAAGATTTATGTATTAAATAACCAGGAGAATATTTGGGAAAGTCAATGTAAGGATTTTAAGTCTATAACTCTGAGCCAAACATAAAGCATGGTAGAAGTGGCATCATGGTGTGGTTCCATCTTGTTTGGATGTATATGTTAAAGCCTAAAGGCTTAAATCAACACATTTAGGTTCAAGTTTTTATTAGCATCAGGATGAATTAGAATTTATGGGGATCTAGATGTGCTTGCAAATGGGCTTGTAGATTTCTTTCAAAATACACTCTGGAGGAAAATACAGAGAAACAACAAAACTCTACAAGCTTTACAAGTTTGTTTATTAGAGACTGTGTCATGGTTTGTAGACAAAATTAAATTCTTAATTAAATCCAAGCAGAGGATTTGCAGTTTTAGGGTGGCTTGCAGTTTGAATTGAAAGTCTGTTCAGTGATTTTAATCAAAAATCCCTGTAAGTTGGGGTAGAATCAAATGAGTTTATGGATGGTCATAAGTCCCTGGCGTGGTGAGAAAGAGGAGGGCAGAGGAGGGCAGAGCAGGGCCTTAGCGACATCTCCAAACATGTCAGCAGAGCAGCCCTGCCCTGCCCTCACAACCAAACTTCAAGATAAACCAGTGCAAAGCTGTTTTCAGCAACCTGCTGTCCTTTAATGAAGGAAAGTCTCCAAGAGATCCACATTTTCTCATCAAATGCCTGTCAGTCTTTGGATTTAAATCTTTCAGCTGCTCAAGAATGACCACTTTGGTTTTCTCAAACCTTGGGTTCCTAAATATTGTGATTGCGGCGTTAACTGGCTTGAGCCACAGCAGTCCAATCAAGCCTGCAGAGACTTACCACAGGACATCTGTCAGCATGGATGTGATCAACAGTCCTCTCCACAGTGCACAGGACTTTTTGAGCCAGTTTCTGTCAATACTGAACCTCACCAGGGTAAGGCCCCAGCCTTGGATGCCTACAGCCCAGAAAGAGCCACTTCCAGAGTATATGCTGGAGCTCTACAACCGATTTGCCAATGACCGCACTGCAATGCCGTCTGCCAACATTGTGCGCAGTTTCAAGAATGAAGGTACAAACTTCTTTGAACAAATTGTTCTAAATGTATTTCGATTAATTAGATAAAATAAGATCATGTTTGAGATTGTCTTGGATATGATGGAACAGTCTGAGTTACCGAAATCAAAGAAAGGTGCTCTAAATATAGCATGTAGCATGTCCAACAAAACCATCTTTGTGTGCAAATTCAACAAATTAATGCTAGCTTACTTAGGTAAATCCATACAGACAACATTGAGATACCTCCTGTGGTATTTTGATTTCAGATTCTTCCCCCCGAAGTATAAGAGCCACTGGTGTATGGATACATCCCCTCCTATTCAATATCTCCATGCCACACTATGAGCATATTACAATGGCGGAGCTTCGACTCTTCATGCTTGTGCGGAAGGCCCAAAGACCACATGCCGTTTTCAGATGCAAGGTGACAATCTACAAGATACACGATGGTGTTGTTTGGACAAAAGAGGTGGGGAAAGAAGGGAGAGAGAGGGATAAAGAGGAGGTGGAGGCGATGAAGGATTTGGAGGAACTGGTGACAAAGCATATCCATGCCAAAGATAATAGCTGGGTGTCATTTGACCTGACTCATGTGGTGACACTCTGGCGGAAGTCAGGATGCACAACCCATAGGCTGGAGGTTCATATTGAAAACCTGGGGGCAGATGAGGAAGGGACCACGAGAGAAGCAATAGAAAGTGGCAAAAGTGTGTCACAGGTTGATATTGACAGGAGCATGGAGGGGCAACACAATCCAGTGATAATTGTGTTCTCAGATGACCAGAGCAGAGATCACAAAGAAGACAGACAAGAGCTAAGTCAGATGATTAAGCATGAGAATGACCTTCCTGATAACGTGATAAACCAGAAAGCTCTTCATGACCGTGCAAATCCCAACTCTGACCACCCTGAACAGGACGAGCTGGACCACCAGTCTGCCTTGGAGATGCGGTCCAATCTTATCTACGACACGCCTCCTCGAATCCGCCGCAGCGCCAACACCGAGTCATGCAGGCGGTCACCCCTTTTTGTGGATTTTAAAGACATTGGCTGGGACTCGTGGATTATCCAGCCTTTGGGGTATGAAGCGTACAAGTGCAACGGCGTGTGCAGCCCACCCATGACCTCAGAGGTTTCTCCCACCAAGCATGCCATAGTGCAGACTCGACTGAGCCTCAGGCGCCCCGAACGAGCATCTGCTGCCTGCTGTGTTCCAACAAAGCTGGAGCCAATCTCCCTCCTTTATCACGATAATGGAGTGGTTACCTTCAACCACAAGTATGAGGGGATGGTGGTGGCAGAATGTGGCTGCAGATAACGTCACAGAGAAAAACAGACTTTTAGTTGAAGATCTAAATCCATCAATCTATTTTATCATGCTCTTATGCTTGTTTCCAGATTTCATGCAGTGGACTAATTGTAAATGAGGGATGAAAACTTGATGGAAATTTACAGCTGTATAAAGGCAAACCCCCGAGTGTTTTTTAAATTTAGATCAGAAACACTTTGAACTGATGCAACAAAGTGTTTCATATTAGTCTATCACAGCTCCATATCCATTTTTTGCCTTTCATCGTGTTTTGAAAGCACTTCAATTTATCGTTATATATTACAATGGATTGCCATATTTATACAGTGTTAAAAAAAACTTTCAAAATATTTCAAAGCCATTTAACTTTTTCTCATTTTGTCACATTGCAACTATAAATTTCAGTGTATACAGTACATTGGAAGTTTTAGCATAGTGGCCTATGATTAATCCAGTTTTAATGTCAGATGGACAGCTATTAACTGTGCATTGCCATTATTATTTTAAAAAGAAAACCCTGTAAATATTTTCACCAAAATGTGCAAACATTTAGGAGATATAATCCAAAAGACTTGCAGCTGTAGTTACAGTGCCCAAGGGTTCTGAAAAGTATTGACACAGAATATACATCTGCATCACAGTGTGATGCAACTTGCAACGTTTTAAATTTTTTTTTCTACTTTACAATTTTGTAGGACTGAAAAATACCTACAAATCCCATTAAAATTCAGTAATTATTGTGGTTCCAAAGTGATAAAATATGAATAAGTTTAACAGGTATGGATCATTTTGTAAGGCACTGCCTAATGAAAAAAAGTGGGAAACAAGCAGGTTTGGATTTTTTGATCAGCAATTTTAAGTATAAAAGAAAGTTTTGTCATATTTACAGTAAATAATCAGGTCAAAATTAGTAAAACACTGATTTCATCTTCTGCAAGAGAAGTGAAATCTGACTTGTAAAAGAGAAGAACTTTTATTGTAATACACACCAGAAAAAAGAAAATGAAAAACACCTACTTGCCAAGATGCTTAAGAAAATTATGCATTTACTACAAAACTGTAAATTATGAGGTTGTCCTGAGGAATCTTGGGATATTTCAGATAAGAAGACAATCGTAATATTCTTTCACTGAGATGCTCGCCAAACTTGTAGAAAACATGTCTTTCTTATTTTGGACCACAGAAGGATTTTCACCCTGCAGGGCATCTTCTCAACAACAACAACAAAAAATATTACTTGTCCTATCAAATGTGACTTTCAGCTTCTATAAAATCTTTCTTTATAGAAACAATTCACATCTTGGTTTTGTTTTACACAGTGGTGTGAATAGAATTGTGCTTACTAAAATAAAATATATGACAAAACAAACATATTCAGTGAACAATCATTCCTGTTTCGTGCACACCATGACAATGTCAGGTTATCACATCGCTTCCATCTAACAACCTTAATCCCCATCCTTCCACAGCCACATGCCTGGCGGGCCACTCTCGGCCCGCTTCCATGCCATATTGATAAAGAGGTGTCAGAGCCTGGAGTCTTGTAGGCCATCACTCAGGGTGAGACGCCACTCGAAGTGGCAGTATTTGTGAGAAGGTGGTGTCAGATTCCTGGTCTCCCGGACCAACATGTCCTATTGACAATCACGACAGGAGGTTGCTCGCTGGACTCGGAACCCTCCCATCTGACAATGGCATGCTTATACTCTTATCAAAGCCACGGCAACGGTACAAATGGAAAAAGAAATATTCACTCCACATCATCACCTAACTTTTGCTGTCAACAGTTGGAAGTAGGTAGCAGGAACAACCCTCAAGATCTGTCCAGTGTGAAGGATCTTCACTCAGCGTAACATGTAGGGCAGACATCCAGGCAGTGAGCAGACGGATCTGCATCTAACAGCGCCAAATCTGTGCTCACCTGTATGAGGTTCTTTAGGTAAAGCTACTCAATTGTCAAACCAAAATAGTGAATAAGCTAATCAAATGGCAGCCACTCAATGCATAAAGGCATCTGGACGTGGTGAAGTTGAAATTTAGCATCAGAGTGGGAAAGAAAAGGGATCAAATTTAAATTACTTTGAACAGAGCATGATTGTAGGTTCTGAAAGTATCAAATTACTGTGGTCTTCACTCCCATTTGTGTGATTGGTATAACAGAGAATAGCCTGAAAAAGACAAAAAACAAAAAACAGATGAGCTTAAAAAAAATAACAATAAAAAAATCCCTCTTTGATGTCAAAGTTTAAAGAAGAAATGGATACTAGCTTGAGATGATACAAAAGTAAACACAGAACCTTGAAACAGATGAGTTACTGCTGCAGGAAACCACACAGGATGCCACTCCTTTCACCTAAAACAGAGAAACGAGGATACAATTTGCACAAGATCACTACAGACCAGGTCCAACCAGTACTAACAAAGTGTACCTAATAAATAGAGTCGATACAACAAAAGAAAAGCATGGACATCTTTGTGGAAATAAAAAAAGCAATGTTTATTTTATTTTATTTTAGGTTTTCTTAGTTTAGGAATTGTAAACTCCTTATTTAGCTAAGTCTTTGAGCTAGTTTGATGGCTGGACACCAACCAATTTAAATAAACCAGTTCAAGGGGGAGTGATTACATATTAAAAGAATATGCTGAGATGTTGTTGATATCTAAGAAAAGCTTGTGATTTCCCTGGCAGGCACTTATTAATAAAAATAGTCGATGACATAAAGAACCAAGTCAGTTCTTTATGTAACAATTTATTACACATTTTATTTCATACAAGGATATAGCATATAACCAAGTTTTAATAGTTGAGAGAGGATTTTACTGTTGGTAAAATGGCTCTGTACATGTTCATAAGGCACTGTTACCGTTTTAAAAGAACAATGTTCACATAATTAATCCAAAGTGAAAATTAGTGCTATACTCGAAAAATTGCTGTTCCTGGTGGAACAGCTGTGAGAATCCATATTTGCAGAATGATTGCAAATATGCAATGCAAGAAACAGCAGAATATAGCATAAGAAGTAGGAAAAAAAGCAGATGAAAGCTACAGTCATACATGGTAGAAATTTTTTGCCAAAGATATAGCAGAGAATAGCAGAAACACAAATTTGTGTAAAACCTGAACTAGTTGAAAAAGTGAAACATAACAAAACGCATAAATTAGTAGAAGCAGAAATTAGTACAAAACCGTAAGAGATATGAAAAAGCTGATACATTTGAATATTGTTTCAAGTCTGGTGACTTGTTTAAAAGTTGAATGGAGTTTCTAGGTTGAAGTAGGCCAGAGCAGTGAGCTGTGAAAAAGCAGAAGATGTTTGTGGAATTTTGCAGAATTTCAATGTATTTCAATGTGGCAAAAATAAAAAAAATCTTGCACAAAAGCACAAATATTTCAAAAAGTAAAACAGTGAATTTTAGCAAAAGTCATAGCAGAAATCTCCAGACGAAGCAGAAAGTAGTAAAACGTACGAAACATCTAATAATAATAATAATAATAATAATAATAATAATAATAATAATAATAATAATAATAATAATAATAACAAGAAATAGAAATGCAAAATGCATTCTCACTGATAAACATGGAGAACAATAGAAAATGTTCATTGGTATCTCTGAATCCCACATATCCGCACATGCGCAGTATGATCAAATCAATTAAAGAGCAGATTTTATGACAATCACAAATCTGTGATGTATTGCGAATGTCATAAATCGTTATTTTGTTCTGTGATGGAAATATAATTAACATAAATTGAGCGTTATTACCTGTGCAGTAGCATTTATAATGTACAGCGAGGCGAGCTGCACCGCAGCGCCACGCCTGTCACGGCTCGGTCAGAGCGTGGTGGGTGGAGGAGAGATTTTGTTTATTTTCGTGGCCAATTAGGCATTCGGCTGGATTCTGCTAGCATACGAATCCTGGTTGAATTTCAGTGAAGTGTTGTCGGTTGATTAGGTGATCGGGTGCGGAGAAGACTGGCTCGTGGTCGCCTGACTTCGTGAGATGCTGGATTTCGGAAACAACAGAAAGGAAGGTTCGTCAGCGTCAAGTTGGTCTGTCGGCGAGCCAGCAACAATAACCAAAACGTAAGATAGCCGCTCAGGTTTTAGGCAGCTAAAGCTTCGTTGACTCCATCTTCTGCGAGTGGATCTGCGCCGCTTTTCTGTGAATTACTGTAAGTAAACAGATTTGTTTTCCACTCTTTCGATTTATGGAATACATTGTTTTACTTGTTAGCTAAATAGCAGCCATCGCTAACAGAGCTACTTAGCTTAGCCATGCTAGCTAACCCCGTATTGTGTTGCTGTTGACTGTTATGTAAAAGTGTGCGTTTGTCTGAACATATAATCACAAATTATACCGGTGCACCAGCATAATTCAAGACAAACTCGAAGTAAGCTTTATTTCCCCTCCCTTACGTTTCGTTATTGGGCATCTTAGATTAGCCACATTAGCCAGTACTAGCAAAGTTATCTCAATGCTGTTTGTTTTAAAATCATAATTGCTGATTTTCTGCTGGTAATTTTCGTCATTTCATATGTCTGTTAATATGTCAGATGGTTCAGGTAAGGTGTTTATTTCTGTGAGGATCCCCGTGTGCCTGAAGTGTTGGTATCGGGGTTGCTACTTTTAATTTACATAACATTTGACTAAGTTTAGCTTTTGTGTTTAATAATTATTAACTTGCACATTAATGGAGAGCTTTTACTAACTATACATCCCTGGTATGCCCATGTTATCTGAGAAAAGCTAACTCTTTTACTCCAGGTTTATATACAACGTTTTCCTAATTAAACACTTTTAAGTTATTAGTCTTCAAAAAAAATAAATGCAAATGTTCTATGCTACAGATTTTATTCAACTGTTTCTCACACAATTTCTTATTTTGTCCCCATTTAAGTCCTTTTCGAACCTTAGATTATTATTATTATGTTTTTTTAGGTACTTCGATTACATTTAGGTGATAAATCAGGAGCACATTCCTTTACAATTACACTGAATTAATGTAAACATGTGAATATGTGAGATAATATTAGACACATACCATGTAAGAAAAACAACAATATGACTAAAATAATTCATGTTCATATTACATTTAGTAGCTGGAAACTAAATTAATATGTGTTGTCAGTTCTACTCCATTCAGGAAAAAAATGGAGATTTAATGTAGTTAATTGTTTTAAAGATAAATGAAAATTTTAAACTATTTTTTAATATATGTAAAAAAAACATAAAAAACACACATTGCTATGTGTTGAGCATGTTAATTTAAAAAGAAATTATTTTACTTTCAAACTTTGGTTTGAGGTCAAAAAACTTTGCTCTCTCTTTTTTTCCCTTGTTTTTAGGTGGCTAAACGTGGGCTGCTTTGGTTCGAGGAATAATTTCTCATTGTCACTCCAAAAACACAAAGACATAAAGGACGCAGCTGGAAAGCCCACCCAGTCCTGAAAACTACAAAGCAAGATGTCAATCACAAACACTCCTACGAGCAACGATGCTTGCCTGAGCATCGTGCACAGCCTCATGTGCCACCGGCAGGGAGGGGAAAGTGAAAGCTTTGCAAAGCGGGCCATTGAGAGTCTTGTTAAGAAGCTGAAGGAGAAGAAGGATGAGCTGGATTCTCTAATTACTGCCATCACCACAAACGGGGCTCATCCTAGCAAGTGCGTAACCATACAACGAACTTTGGACGGACGACTACAGGTATATTATAGTGCCTCCTTTGCAGATGTCTCTTGATACTGTTCATTCATACCATATTTAAAACTCATCTGTGTTCTGCAGGTTGCAGGGCGTAAAGGTTTCCCCCATGTCGTCTATGCCAGACTGTGGCGATGGCCAGACCTCCACAAGAATGAGTTAAAACATGTGAAGTACTGCCAGTATGCCTTTGACCTGAAATGCGACAGCGTGTGTGTCAACCCATACCACTACGAGAGAGTTGTTTCTCCAGGAATTGGTTAGTTAGGATCACGTGTTCCTCAGTTTTGGTTATATAGTCGCTGTTCAACTTGCTAACACATTTAGAAGTGCACACTAAGAGATTACAGTGTATTTTTACATGGGCATAACAGATATTGTACACTTATAAGCAAGAATTACATTTAAAACTAGTAGTTTTAAACTGATTTTTTTTTATTAATGTGTTTGCAGACTTATCAACATTGACCCTTTCAAATTCAGGTACAAAGCTTACGTTTTTCCTCGTCAGCGACATTGTAAATGTTCATCAGTCTTAATCATGTCTGTCATTTTCTGCCAGGTCCTCTTATAGTGAAAGACGAGTTTGATTATGAAAACCAGCAGTCACACTCCAGCTCTGAAAGCCACCTGCAGACAATCCAGCACCCT